GTGACCTGCTGTCCATTTTGTGACCATTTTGGGTTCATCTTGGGTGCAGCCCTGGCTGGGCTCTTGTGCTGCCCAAGGTGGATCCACTGAGGCCTCCTAATAAATCCCTGCTTTATTCTTTAGCTCTGTCCAGCCTCTGTTCTAGGTCAGCCTTCACAGGGCATCCACACAAATGAACACTTTCCCTATTCTCTGGGGTTTCAGTGCAAAAACCTCTCTCTCCATTCATCTCCCTCCTGCCTCCCCCTTCTCCACCCCCTGCTGCCCAGGGAGCCCCAGGAACAGGAGTATTGGCAGTAAACTCAGCTCCACAAAACAGGCTGGGGAAAAAAGGGAAACAAAACACCATCACTTCCTATTTTTTTCTCTTCCCTCTGCATCAAAGCCCGGGCTGGCTGTCAGGAATGTTCAAAATGAATAAATAAAGCCCAGGAACCCCCCCTGCTTCAGGAGGAGTCTCATTCACTCACCATGAAGCTTGGCCAATTCCTTTTCTGACAGTACTCGAGTCAGCAGGCAGAGCAAGAAGATCATTCAAAGCTAATCAGTAAAGTGTAAACCTATTATGAAAGCACATTTACCCCTCGCCGCCTCCTCCCTCCCGAAAACCAATCCCCAAATCTGTGGGAATAACACACAGCCTCCATAAAAGTTGCTATTACTTGGATCCCCTGTTATTAGGTCAGCGATGGCACTGATGAAATGGTCCCCAGAGCTCTGAGCAGTGGTGGATAAATCCTGCCAGAAATTCATGGAGTAATTTGTTACAGCTCCAGGGCATGAGGCACAGCACAGCAGAGCCCGTGCATGAGGCTCTCCCCTGTGATTCTGGAGGCCATCTCTGGTAATAAAAACCTCATCTTGATTTCTCATCCTTTGTATTGATTTCTGTCAGAAAAGACTTGTCTTAGACAAAGATACTGCTATATTTCTGTGGATAATAAAGGGATGCTTCTCCCCTTTTCTGCCCATCCCTTTTTGAAATTAATTTTAGGGATGATTCTAACAAGACTCGTTATTTGGGAACTGGTTTATTGATTGGGTAAAGAGTTGAGAAGATGATGACTGGCTTTGCATATTCAGCGCAAAACCCTAAATGTAAAATGACAGAAAAATGGGTTTGGTTGGGAACAGGAAAGCAAATTGAAGCTACAACCCCAGCTCTGCTGTATCTTAACATGAAACTCTGTTATTAATTGAATGGACGGAATGTGTGGGACTCAAGTGATTACCATCCAGGCTCAGATCTATATAATCATAGCAACTGCTAATTTTGGATCACTTGTACTCCTGCTCTTGGGAAAAAAAAAATAAAAGAAGGGCAGGTCTGTAGGTAAACTGCATGATGATTCTTCACAAAGCTTTCATAAGCAATTATCTTTCTTTTCTAGTATGGCTGGACAAGGCCACATGGAAATCTGGAAGGCTTTATATGAATAATTTGCAAGCCAAAAAAGAGCAGCTCCACAGAAGTCAACCCAGGTAAATTGAAGGACGGATGGTAAGGCTGAAAAATGCAATGTTATATCAAAATTATTTTATCTTCTCTGCAGTAGGATTGATATAAGCAACTGGAAAAATTTCATTTAGTCTAGTCCTTTGGGTTTTGCTTTCCTTGTCTTTTTTATAACCTCTCTTCCTAAGAAGCTGCTTTGGGTCTGGAAATTACTGAAGCTGTTCCCTTGTGCAATGAAAGTGATAAATATTTACAGCAGTTCTTACAAGTTGAGAAATTTAATATGTGCTCATTCCTTTTGTAATCTAAGAGTAACTGTGCTGAAAGACAATACCTGCTAATTGTGTTTGCTATCACAGTCTTTTCAGAGTGAAGGATAAAATATGGAAGTTTGGCTTTATTTTCTACTCCACACAGCAAAATTTATTCAAAAGAATCTTTGTTGCCCTTTATCTATTTATTTAATAGACTATAAAAAATGTCAAAAAGCCTAGTTGAAGAATAATTTATAAGCTACAATTAGCTGTTGATCTGTCAGACTGGCTTAGGGGAGAGCCAAAATATATCCTGGCAGGTAATAATTAATGCAAACCTTGACACTTCAGGCCTGGCCCTATGTTGAGCAGGACACAGCTCCCAGTTCTCTGCCAGGAAAGCCTGGCTCTGCAGGATACACACACTCCCCTTGTGGAGAAATATGCTGATTTTTTGTTGTTTTTAAACCTCTTTTGGATGCCAGCAAATGTGTCTGAGGGGGAAGTGATTGTGGTCACTTAGAGGCCTGCTGTGAAGAGCAGGACTCGGGCAGCTCGCTCTGGTTCCTCTCAGCTCTGTAAATCACTGCCTCACTCAGCCAGAGTCAAATGAGCTCCAGCACTGGGCCATGTCCAGCCTGTGCTGCAGCTGATGGCAGCTCTCCCACTGCCTTCATCGGGGGCAGAATTTCATCTGCTAAATCACCAAAAGAGCTTTTATCAATGAGAGCTGTCTGGTCTTGGCTGAACCGTGCACTAATGATTTTTAGAGGTCATGACAGAGAGTTCATTTGAAAGGAGAGAGTAACAGGGAGTCTGATGGGGCTTGGAGCAACCTGACCTAGTGGAAACTGTCCCTGCCCATGGCAGGGGGTGGAATGAGATGAGATTTAAGGTCCCTTCCAGCCCAAACCACTCTGGGCTTCTCTGATCAAACACTGACTGCAATAAGTGCATCACTGTCCCTCTGCCACCAGCAATGACCCTGCCCTCAGGCAGATCACAGAACTGACATCTGGAGCCAAAAAGCAGTTTTAAGCCTAATCAGACCATCTTGATAGAAAATGGTCAATTGTTAGAATATGATATTGTTTCAGATGGGTGGGTTACTGTACAAGATTGGAAGGGACCTGTTTTCTCACCCTGTGTCAAACGCAGCAGAGCAAGCCTGACTCAAGGCTTATCTCTGACAACCCTGTGGGTGTATCTTAGTCCCATCTAATATAATCCCTTGCTCAGGATTACTCACAAAACTATCCAAGATCAGTTAATGTGGTGCTTATCTTCCTACATCTGCTTTAATCTTTGTTAATTTTCAAATCTAGATGAGATTCAAGACTACTGAACCTGACTAGGCAGATCAGAAAAAAGAGTAGCTAAAGAACGCTTGTAGTTTTTTTAATCAGGTATTCATATGCTGGGCTACTGATGGTGTGCCTCTAGCCTTGAGTCTCACCTGAAGCTGAGATATAAATGTGGCAAGGAAGTCCCATTCTGCTTGTAAGGGCTGCAAAAAGAAAGCTCAGCACTTTACATTCCACCTTAGACAGCTACATGAGGCTGAGGGCTCCCCTGAATTAGGCAGCAGGAGTTTTGATGAACTGCCCTCTCAGCCATCCCTCTGCACCTCCCTCCACTGAACCGTGGCTTCAGCTCCCTCAAATGATCCTTTGGATGGGTTAGGCTGCTGGTTGGCTCTGCTGTTAAGCATCCCTGTGGACCAGATTTAACTTTTAATAGTGTCTCATAATGTCTTTAAAGAGGTTTATGGCTCAGCCTGGTTCTCTGGGAGATTGCCTGTTCCCTGCTAATCTGCTACAGAAACATTGCCATTGGTTCCTGCAGTATTTCAGGGAGTTCTCCCCCAGCTCCACAGCCAAGTTAATTGGACACAATTGACCTATGGTAGAGAATGACTATTAGGTGAGGAATATTAAGCAAAGGGAATAAGATCTTTCTGTAGCTCAGAACATGCTGGGAGCTGTGGGGAATGGCAGGAAATGGCAGCTCAAGGAGTGTGCAGAGCAGGCCCTGGGAGAGGGTTGATTTAAGGAATGTGAAAGTGCTTTGCAATAACTGAGGTTTGTAAAACCAGCAGCTCTTTCCAAAGGAGAGTAAAAATACACTGCAGTCTTGAGAGCCTATAAGAGGCAAAAGTGCAAGAAAGAAGAGAAATAGGTTGTGGCAGAGAAAAAAACTGTGAGAGTGCTGGTTTCGATCATTCTTTCTTTTTTAACAAACACTTCACTGTAGCACAGCTGCCCAAACCTGACTGAAGGAGTCAAGGAACAAACAGGGCAGGATTTCACCCGAATGCATTTGTGTTTCCAACTGGAAACTGCACACTGAAGGCAAGTCCAGTACCCCAAGCAAACACTGAATGATTAATGAGCATGACACTGGTCCACAAGACAAATATGAGCCCTGTAACATCCCTGGGCAGCTCAAGACACAAAAACAGTTTGCAGAGCAGCTTTATGCACAGCAAATGAAGCCTTGCTGCCAAATCCTGGAAGTTTTGGTTGCTGCTTCCCAATTTACTTTCACACACTAATCCTTTGGATGGGGTAAATCCCATAAAATTATAAAACCAGCTTATATTCCTTAGGACAAGAGCTTCCAGTGTCAGAATTGCCAGTCTAAAAACTTCTTTGGCTGAAGTAAACTTCCTGAGAGAAGCAGAGGTGTCAGCAGAGGGTTTAAAACTGTGTAAGTATGTGCTTAACTCTACTGAGACGTGAAGTTTCCCTGAGATCAGCAGAGTAAAGTTCCATTTGGGGGAGTGGCTCGAAGGTCAGGCCTCAAGAACAAAAGTGCTTCAGATTCATGGCTAATACCAGCAGCAGGATGGCAGTGCCAGTGACGTGATGTGATTTGCTATGGCAAATAATGGTCCTTCCATCTCATGGAAGAGTGAGTTCCCTCTCTTAAACCTCATGTATTCACACAGGGAGAAAAGTCACTGGTCCTGAAGTTTAGAGTGTGCCGCTTATAATTCCAAAGCCTGGGCCAAAGGTAATGTGCAAGGTGAAGGTGTCCCACTTAAATATTTGTGGACCTGATCCACAGCCAGTGACTGAAGGAGCCCCTCTGACCCCTGCCAGGAGCTCTGCTCTCCCCAGTCAGGAATCCTCCAGCTCAGGATTTGGAGCTTTGCAGCTGGTGCAGAGCTAACTCCTTGTATGGGACTGGCACCACTGCCTTAAAGATGGATTTTGCAGTTTGTAGGAACTCAAAATCAGGCTCTTTGAGGCAAATGGACCGGTTAAGGGCTAAGTGTTTCTGCTCACCGGCACTCGAGGAAGCACTGGGTGATCTGGTCCTGGAGGGTTTCCTTGATGTGGGGCCCCTCTGTTTTCTTCAGCTCATGCCTGAAGGAGAAGTCTGCTCTTTCCTGGACTTCACCTTGCAGGACATTTGCTTTCTGCAAACAGCTCATTGCCTCCAAGTCAGGAGGCAGACTCTGAAAACAAGAGGAGAAAATAAAAGGTATGAATGAAAAGAAACTTAATATTTACTGGAATGCCAGGTTGACGGTGAATCTGAGCTTAAGCCTTAATTTACTTGCAGGAAGCCAGGAAAAAAAACCAACCCTGTGCTCATAAAAAGTGCCTGGATGCACACAATGGTCTATTGTTGGTATTTCAGCATTAATTAACAACATTGCAATGTACAAAAACAACCTTTGCAGCGTGGGATCCTGGATCTCAATGAGACAGGTGAGAAAGCTGCTGCTCTGCAAATGCCAGCTTTATCCATGTCAGAAGGGAGCCAGAGAATTTTTTAATTGAATTTTCAAATGTCTGGACTTCCCATTGGTGCTTTTTAATTAGCCAGTATTGTTTTTAATTTGTGCACTGAAATTTTTATATGCACACTGCTTGGTCAGTGGTTTCCTGGTATTTTGTTGCAGCTGGTCAGACTCCTTTAGGAAATCAACTTCCCTTGAGGAACAACAACAAAAAAGGAATAAACACCCCCCCCCCCCCCCCCCCCCAAACACTATAGCCAAAATCACAGCTCCCCAAGTTTCCCATGATTTGATAACCTTGGAAAGAAGGGCTTCTCAGCCAGTTTCAAGTCTTACAATAATTTCTGCTCTGTGATTGATTTTACACATGTAGTGTGAGGGAGAAAAATGAAAGTCTTTCTGGTATTCAAATACAGAAGCATGAAAAAACCCATCTGTGTGGGTGGGCTGAAACTTTGCATTTTTCAGCTTGCAGTCATTGATAAAATTAAGATGTTACCAGTGTTTTATGAGCTATTGCTACCTTGTAAGTGTAGGGAAAAATCTATTTTAAAAATCAACTTGTGAACTGGCTTTTTGGTTTTAGGTTTTCTTAATTCTGGAACAAATTGGTTTTTTCATGTACTTGGGAATTATTAATCACATTGTCTGATGGTGTATGACAAATTTAAGACGAGAAAAGAAGAGAAAATATGACAATCTGGTTTTGTAGTATAATTTCATTTCTTTTCAAAGTTTGTGACTGACATAGGTGGCAGGATATGTGAACAAAATCTTGGTTTACATGAAAAAAAAATTTTGCTCTGGCCTTTCAACTTCAGAGCTTATAGAAATTGTCCTTAACTGGCACATCTCAGACTGATTCAGTAATGCATTCTTCTTGCTCTGGTGATGTATTTTCTGGTGTGCTCCAAGTCCCAATTCCTGAGGCCTCCCGCAAAGACAAAAAGCTCTGTCAAAGCTTTGGCCAGCTCATATTTAAGTTCTGTTATTCCCTGGTTTTCTGTGCTTCCACCAGGTTCCAAAAATCACTAATAAATGCCAAGCAACTTTGGTTTCTGAGCACTCAGAGGGATCCCACAGTGTCCAAAGCAAGCACACAGGCCCCATTCAGGAAAGCAATTTACTGCATCTGGGATGTGTGACTCGCACTGTGCTCCAGGAATGGGTCAAGGCCACCAGGGAGAAAATATTCAGGAGGAAATAAGAACAGCAGTGTGCTTCTGAAAGGTGGCTGCACATGTTCCCTCCCTGAATACGTGACCCCAAGCGCTGCCTTTTACCCTGAGATGTTACCTCTGCTCAATTCCCAGTTTTCAGGGAAGCTGAGTGTTTCCAATCTTCCCCCTCACCAGCACCTATTTATGAGTATAACACAGCTACTATTGGCAGTGTTTATTTGTATTTCACCATTGTCTGCCTTGCTGATGTTAAACAAAGCCCAGGACAGCCAGATGTGATGCTGCTCTCTCAGGGGCTCCTTTAGAAACCAGAGGAGCCCCCACAAGGCCTGCTTTCCAGACAGATCCAAAACCAACTCCTCTGTTTGTCTCTCTACAGCAATCCTCAGGGGATTCCTGAGAAATTCCCAGCAGATGGGCATGAGGATGCCTGCAGCTTTAGAGAGGCTCATCTGTGGCTGATGGAGAGAGTCAGGCTCCTCTCCAGCACAGCCTGCACGTTTAAAGGTGAAATGTCACCAGGTGAGCAGGGAAGGGTCAGCTCCTGCGCCACCTGAACTGCTGGATGCATGATCCCTCCCTTCTGCTCAGGCTCTGGCACCCACCTGACCCTGTAGTGAACCAGTTCAGCTCCCTAAAAAGTGAAAAATAATCCCTTTTGTCTTTTCCTCTCCTCCCACCTCCTCAAGTTACTCATTTCCCACTATAACAAGGTGGATCAGCTGAGGGCCAATGCTACAGCAAGGGCAGTGGTGGTCAGTGGGACCAGAGCATCATGGGAGCAGCAGCAGCACAGGCAGCAGAGCTCCTCCCTGCCATCCCAGAAGCTTTGCAGCTCCTCTGAGCTGCTCTCCACTGCATCTTAAGGGAGCCTTGCATGACCATGTTCTCCCACTGTGAATTTATTCAGCCTCCCTTTCAGCAGCCCCAAAGCCAGACGAGGTAAGAGCTGTTTGAAGTGGCAAACACAAGGTGCCATTGTAAGACCAGCAGTAGGAAATTCTTATCTCAAAAAGAGACTTGCTACAGCCCGTATCTACACTTGAGCCCAGAGTCAAGAAGCAGCTGTGGACACAGCCCAGGTAGCCCTGAACCAGCTGGCTCAGATGTTGATAACAACAAGGCCAGGGGATATGTTCTGGTTGGCAAAACCCAGCCGAGCCCTGAGTAAATATTTGTGCAGCTCCCTGTCTGAGCACCATTCAGTTATCAATACATCTGCTAACAGGAGTTTATCAGCTGTACTCAGCACCAAGGATGTAGTACAGATATAAACCTGTAGAACAGCTTATGAGAAGCTCTGTTGTATTTTTATTTTATTTTCCACAGTCTGTTTTACTACAAGAAAACAGAAGAAATGAGAATTACTTCTAGAACAAGACTCTGGCCATTCACCTTCAGGATCACTAAAGAACAAGCATGAAAGAGAACAGAAGTTGATAAGGCTGTATTCTCCTCTTCCCCCCAGTCCTCCTGATTTCTTCTTTGGCAATAACACGCTCCAGCTGTGATGGGAGCAGGACATGAGGAGCACAGCTGGCTGTGACAAATGAGGCCTGAAGGACTCAGGGCTGGCTGCTGTGGAACTTACACAGCGTGCCCTGTCCATGAGGGAAGAGCAGGAGGTGTCAGGAACCCAAGGCTGGCTCCTGTTCTGGAGAGGAGAATGAGGAGGAAAGCACTGGCTGGCAGTGAGTACATCATGCCATGGGCACTTGGTTTTTATATAAAACAGCACAAGTGAATGTACAGCTGGCTTGGCTTTCTGTTCTGTCACTTGGAAATCAATGCAGTCATGCAAACAAAAATTGAATGGACTTGAGGAAAACAAGGATGAGGAGACATCAAAAGGATTTATGTGTATGTGGGCTAAGTGAAATGGGGACTATGTTAAAAACAGCTTCCTTGGACTATAAGAACTGATCCAAGCATGTGGATGCTCAAGGAAGTGAATTAATTGATAAAGGAGGGAGGGAATAAGAAGAGGAACTAGACAAAACTAAGTGTGGAAGGGAATTTAGAACATAACGTAAATATAGGGCAGCAGGAGCTGCTGAAGAGATGTAACAAGATGGCCAGAGGATGGAACTGCCAGTTCTGTACTGTTTGTCAGTAATACTCATAGAAAATGCTTTTCTTCTGTCAAGTATAAAATGTTTTAGACTATTAAAACACTTAAAGGAAAACAAGCTATGAATAGCATAGGTGATATCTTCCAGCTTTGCAGCTGAAGAAAGCTGCTCTGTTAAACTTGTTTTATTTTGTCCACAGTGTTCTTGACCTAGTCACAGAAGTGTGTGTCACCCTAAACCTCACCAGCTTCAGAGTTTAACACATTCCTAACCTTGTCTCAGGAATGAGGAGCCAACTGCACAACCTGTGTGCCTTGTGTTCACCTTCAGGTGCTCTTGGGCCTTCAAAAGGAGACAGAATCTCTCCAACAGCCCTGCTGGAGGTTCAGTTCTCTTGCCAACGAGCAGAACTCAGAAGAAAATAGGTATGAAGAAGCTTTGGCCATCTGAAGATGCAAGAGGGAATAGGAAGCGAAAAGGTTGAAGAGTGCCAAGAGAGAGGATGAATTCCAACAGCTCCAGCAGGAATGCTGGAATCCCTGCTGGCCAGCCTGTGACCTGTGCCTTGCAGCATCATGGAAGAGCTTTCCATGTTTTCACATGGCTCTTGTGGAGCTCTGAAGTTATCCTGACTGTGCTTCCACAAACCTCTAATGTGCATGGAAGGAAGACAAAAGCCAATTTATTTCTAACATCCCTTCTCTCAGAGCCTCTAATGTTCCTGCTTCTGAATCAAAGGGAGGCATTCTCCAGGAAGATGCTAATAAATAGCTTTTCCTTGGGGGAAGAAGCATTTTCCCATCTTTAAGAAATTTCTCTGGACATGTGAAATTCAAATTTGTTAACTTGCCCTACAAACAGCAACTCATTTAGAAACAAATTACAAATATTAGATGGAGACAGTGAACTTGATAATGCAATGCTGCCACATCAGTTGTAGAATAATGCATCTTAATGAAGGCTTCCCATGTGAATAAACCATTATATTTACAAGCTTTTCACAGTTAATGACCCAGAACTGGATAACGAAACTCACATTTTTAGTGTGGTCCTCTGTCAGCAAAAGTATACATATTAATAATTGATGTTGCTGTAAAAATAGGACATATTATGAAGATTCCTGAGTTTGTGGGGAAAATAGGACTACATGGTCCATTAACTTAAAAGGCTTATCTAATGTTTGATGGGCTTTGTCTTTAAAATCCTTGTTTAAATTAATAAGGCAAAATGGACATTTGTCTAAAAGAGAATTTTATTCCAACTCATCAGTCATGAGTGTGCTGTTAAGATTCTTCTGTTCTGTTCTTTACTTGTTCCCCAAAAGAATTTAGGTTTTAGGGAAGGGGACGATGCACCAGTAGGAGGGAAAAGATATTTCCTGCAGCTCCCAGGTGAGTCAGTGGGATGAAGGACCATGTGGATGATAAGGGGACTGGAGAACCTCCCATTTGGAGACAGG